CACAGATGGCATCAAGTTACCATCCAAAATTTGCTGAATTTTTATTGAATCCATTTTTCCTTCTACTCGTGAGATGTTCCCTGTGCCACTGGCTGCAACACAACTCCAAAGCATGATTGATCCAACCCCATGCTTAACAGTTGGACAGAGGTTCTTTTCATTAAATTCTGTGCCCCTTCTTCTCCAAACGTACCTTTGCTCATTCCGGCCAAAAAGTTCAATTTTAACCTCATCGGTCCACAGAACTTGTTTCCAAAATGCATCAGGCTTGTCTATATGTTCATTTGCAAAGTTCAAACGATGATTTTTGTGGTGAGGACATAGAAGAGGTTTTCTTCTGATGACTCTTCCATGAAGACCATATTTGTACAAGTATCTCTTTATAGTGGAATAGTGTACCACAACTCCAGTGTCTGCCAGATCTTTCTGGAGGGATCGTGCAGTCAAACTTGGGTTTTGAATTGTTTTTCTCACAATCCTGCAAGCTGTTCTGTCTGATATTTTTCTTGGTCTTCCAGATCTTGCTTTAACTTCCACTGTTCCTGATGACTGCCATTTCTTAATTACATTCCGAACAGAGGATATTGACATCTGAAAACGCTTTGCTATCTTCTTATAGCCTTCTCCAGCTTTGTAAGCGTCAACTATTTTCAGTTTCAGTTTTCTAGACAACTGGTTAGAAGAACCCATGGTGCTGATTGTTGGGGCAAGGTCAGATGAGTCTGGGCATTTAAAACCTTTGAGATTGACATCACCTGGTCTTCCCAGACGATAATTGAGAACAATCCATGACACTGGGCAGGTCTCAGCTTGGCAAAGGGGGCAGTGCATGCTATAAATTCTGCAGGGTGCCCAAACTTTTGCAGACGCCATTTTTTTGTTTTCTGTTATTTTGAAAGTATAAATGATGGAAATAAAATCTAACTTTTGTTGACATATTATAAGAATGTCTAATCTGTAATTTGATGCCTTTTGGAGATTTTTCCATCTTTCCTTGGCTTCTTTATGCACATTAATACAAATTTTTAGCTGGGGTGCCCAAACTTTCGATCCCCACTGTATATATATATATGTGATTTGCATTTCCGGGTAGGAGGCCCGCATGCGCACCACCCTACCTGCGCCGCCATTGTCGGTTACGGATGTCAACCACCTGGGGTCCCAGCTACAGATTCTCCAGATTTGTGGAGTAACACTGACAGGAGAGAGACCTGTGTGTAAAAAACACAGGTCTCTCTCTCCTGCCAGCAATACCATGCTGCTGTGTACATAAATACACAGCAACATGTTTCCCAAGTAAAACACACACAGTACATGTTGTAAAACACAGCACAGCACACAGTTAACCCTTTATCGCCCCAGATGTTAATCCCTTCCTGCCCAGTGTCATTAGTACAGTGTCAATGCTTTTTATCAGCACTTATCACTGTATTAGTGTCAGTGGGATGTCAGTGGCAGTTAGTCGATTCCCCCTCAGTATCAGAATGTCCACTGCAGTCCCGCCGCCATTACTTGTATAAGAACAATAAAAATTCCAGTATATATACCGCCATTTGTAGATGCTATAACTTTCACATAAACCAATTAGTTTACACGTATTGGGATTATTTTTTAGCAAAGACATGTAGCAGAATACACTTTGGCCTAAATTTATGAAGAAATTAGATTTTTTATATTTTTTACTGTATATGTTTTATATCAAAAAGTCAAAAATATTGATTTTTTTTTTCAAAATTGTTGGTCTTTTTTTGTTCATAGGACAAAAAATAAAAAACTGTACAGGTGATAAAATACCACCAAAAGAAAGCTCTATCTGTGGGGCAAAAAAGGACATACAGTTCATTTGGATTCAGTGTTGCATGACCGTGCAATTGTCAGTTAAATTAACGCAGTGCAGTGCAAAAATTGGCCTGGTCAAGAAGGGGGGTAATTCCTCTGGAGGGCAATTGGCTAATAAAGTCTTTTCCTATAGACTGCACTTAGTTGGCGCCCTCTGCTGCTTCCTTTCCTGTTCCAGGAACAACCCAAAATGTGGGATTTTCTTTGGCTTTCACATTCAATGGTGATGGTAAATAGGACAACTAGAGAGGGTGAATCTCCCTATTGGGGGCACTGATAGCAATAAATAACCTGACAGGGGTTCTAACCGATCTCTACTTAGAAAAAAAAAGGTTTTGGCTTTACAGTAGTAATACTTTAAAGGCTGTTTTTTGCAGCAAGTAAAATTGTATTTTATACCTATAGCTGATTAATAAATAGAATTTCAATATTGCTGCCTATCTTGTCTTCACTGTATGTTTGCCTTGATTAGCATTTTTTTTTAAATTGATGCCTTCTGTGAAAGTATCTGAACATTGTATAGAAATACAACAGATTCCAAAGTATTGTTCAAACAATGCATCGGAATACAACACATTCCCTGATTTTGTAATATGTCTTCTGTTGATAAACAGTTTGTTAAAGGACATCTAATGCCATAAATGTTAATTATACCTCTGTTAAGGCTTTCATTTATCCAGGTCATATTATAGTGAATAGCAGTTAGTCATATTCAACTGGAAATGTTTTTTAATGTTGAAGGCATTTAATCACTCATTTATGTGGCTTGCTCAGTTCCAGTGAATGTCAGGAACCTATCCCAGCATATTATTCATGACTTAATGGTACTGTGGTGATTGTAGAAATACAGCAGGGTGGTTTCACAAGCTTTCACACCTCCTGTCATGTTCCTGGAAATCCGGATATGCCTTGACGCATTGCATGACACTATAGTGATCTGATTAAGGCAGAAATTCTCAACTGGGGTTCTGTGAAATCCTAGGGTTCCTCCAGAGGTTGCTATGTGTTCCGTGAACAATGAGCAATTTCTGCTATTCAGATAAATACCCACTGACATCAATGATCTTTTTAGCTATCTGTAAGGGGGGGAGGGTTCTTCACAATAACCTGAAAGGTAAGGAGCATTCTTCTCAGTGACTATCACACTAATGTACTATAGGTTTTAGATACAGTAGTTATTAGCAGGGGTTCCCTGGGACCAGAAAATTATTTTGAGGGTTACCATGTGTTAGGGTGACTGAACTACCCATGTGGCTATAAATGCTGGGGTACGTTCTTGACACTCACTAGAACTAAAGAAGTCACTTGAATGAGTGTCAAAACATCCTAAACAATACAGGACAAGGTTATTCAATTTGATTAAAGTGAAGTTCCACCCAAAAGGGGAAGTTCCGCTTTAAAGATTGGTCCCCCTCTCCCCATTAAGGATTGGCACCTTTGGGGAGCGGGTACCCGAAATTGACAGGTATCTGCTCCCACTTCTGCTGCCTAGGCGATCGAAAGCGGAAGTTGTCCTCCTACCCTCCCTCCCCGTAGTCTTGTGGGACACATGACAGGTCCCAGAAGACGATGGGGCCATTCAGGAAGCGCAGCGCTACTCATGCATGCGCAGTGGGCACCCGGCTGTGAAGCCACAAGTTGTCAGCCGGGTGCCCACACTGAAGATGCCAGCGCCTGGAATACAGGATGGCCGGTAAAACGGGCTGTGGTGGGGGCACCGTGGGATCGTGGGACAGGTGAGTGGCTGTTTTTTAAAAGTTAGCAGCTACAGTTTTTGTAGCTGCTGACTTTTATTTTTTTACAGAGTGGAACTCCGCTTTAACTACTACAAACTTTTTGCTATACAAGTTTGTCTTTGTATACGTTTTAAGGAAGTATAAACAGTTTCTATGATATGCCTAAGACTGGCTAGGTAGACCTTTCATCAGAAGTGACAGGTGGTGAAAAATCCACTTACAGTCGTTAAGATCATTGTACTTCTGAGACTACAACTTTCTCTCGTATCCATTCATCTTTATATCTGATGTACATATACTGAAAAATCTACTTTTTTTCTGCGGAGAAAAGGAGAAAAAAGAGAAAAGATTATGTTTGGAATTTCCATTGGGTAGTATCAGGTAATGCTTGGAGGTTCAACCTTATAATTGTTAGGATTCATGTTTAACTCAATTGCATTGCTGTGACCATGCTATGAATTTGTTTGGAAATTCAAATTCAGGATGCTTGTTTGCATGGAATGTCTTTGTTACTGGATTAAAGGTAGAAGAAAAAAAAAGAAGAGAAATACACTCCTCAAGATCTGGGACTTTATAGGTACAAAGTCATTCAATATAACACATCATTCAAGATAAAATCATCAAAATGTATTAAATACATACAGTTTAAAAAAAATCAATTTGTTTAAAAAAAAAAAAAAATTTCAGGTTTTGATGGAGTACAATCTCACACATGATATACGGTGTGATGAATCCCAACATGATTCACCTATCAGGCTTCCTCAGGGCATAGAATCTATCACACTGTGAAGGAACTAAGAAAAGGATAATCAATACCTCATGTCACATATACAGTATTTTGTTAAAAGACAATCATAATGCCAAATACTGCTTTAAACATATAAATCTACCATTCAATAAAAATTAGCAAATACAGCAAATCAAAAATAATACAACAATCATTGAGGAATTTGTAAATGACATCTCACTCAATGATTTTTGTATTATTTTTGATTTGCTATATCTGATAAGCTGTATTGTTTGGTAGATGTATATGTTTAAAGCAGTATTTGTTGTTATTAATATTATTGTCTTGTAACAAAATATGCTGTATGTGACATGAGGTATTGATTATCTTTTTCTTAGTTCCTTCACAGTGTGATAGATTCTGTCCCCTGAGGAAGTCTGATAGGCGAAACATGTCGGGTTTCATCACACTGTATATATGTGTTGTTTGGAACTTTCATGTGTGAGATTGTACTCCATCATAACCTCCAATTTGCAATGTTTAAAAAAAAAAAAGTTGATTTTTTAAAATCGTATGCATGTAGCCTCCATGGCGGTATTCCCGAGTGTAGCTCGGGGTAAAGTTTCAGTACCACAAGCGGTAACCCTGAGCTACACTCGGGCTTACCATGCGGCACTGCTCCGCGATCCCTTCTGCACTCACCTTGTCCTGCGCTCCCGCGATGTCCCTCCTGCAGTGTCCCCGGCAATGTAATCCGGCGGATGCTGGCATCTGTCATCTGGGTTCCGTCCCCTGCAAGCGTCGGGACGTACGGGGGACGGAACTGACGGGAAATTTAAAAATGTCAAAAAGTGACATTCACTAAAATCACATAGTAAAACATTACTGTATCAAAGCATTTCACATACATTTTGTCCCGAGTGCTTTGTCCTGTGCCCTGCCTGCATTTTTACTGTTCTTTCTGCCTGGAAACTGAGAAACGTCCATGGCGTCCAAAAAGCATCCCTTTTGGTCAAAAGCGGTTTTAGACCAGCTAGAGAACAGCGTTAGTAAATCAGAACCACTTGCAGAATTGAGTGATAACGATTTGTGAGGAAATTCGTCATCAACTGAAAACGATTTTGCGACTTTGCTCAGTGATGTGCGAACTTGCGCTTTTTCAGTGTTTTTGGTTTGATTACATTATTGAATTAAATGTATTATTATTATATTATTATTTTTTATGATTATTTATTAAATTATAATTTATGATTTTGTGTTTCAAGTTATATCCTACCCGGGATGTTTACTAGACTCTTGTTCGGACAGATTTCAGTGAGTTATTCCTAAAAATTACAGGCCTAAAATAAAAAAAATACTTATTTCCATGCAAAAAAATGTACCGCTTTGAACACAGAAATATGGACATAATCAGACAGCTAGGGAGGTTAATAGATTTTTATGATTTTATCTTATGAATTATGTGTTAGATTGAATGACTCTGCACCTATAAAGTCCCAAATTTTGAGGAGTGTAGTTCTCTCCTCTTTTTTCATGTGCATTTAAAGTGGCAGACATTGTACCATGACTCCTCTTTAGATTTTAATACTTGTGGATTGAAGGTAGAATAAGTTTAATTTCCTCTCCTTACCCTGCTTTCTTTCTTTATGAGCCATGGTCATCCTCACAGTAAAAAATAATGTCAGAGCACAGCCATTTAATGAACATATATGTGACATCTCTTGGAGGGTGAATGAATATAATGTATATTAGGAAAAAGCCTGAATGTGGAAATATGGACATAGAGTAAAATAAAATGGAAAAAAAAAACTGATTCAACAAATTACATATAGGCAGGCTTATATTTCTACAGAATGTAAAACAATTCATCCTTTCTTAACTATTTTACCATGGCAGAATGCTTGAAATACATTTTTAGGTCTCTAGAAGCCCCTTCCATAAATGATTGTATGTACAGTTCATGAAGCATCAGCCTCATCAGCAAGTTGTAGCTATAATAATAAATAGAAGATAAAGAATATGGCCTGCCTAGTAAATTTAACACTCAGGGGTTCATTTTCAAAGATCCTGCTCTACATAACAAAATTATTTTCGGCAATAATCAGGAATAAGTAATAATAATGGTCAGAAAGGAAATGCAGCCAGTGAAAATGATAGTGCCCCTTTACATTAGTGATCATTTAGAAAGTGCCCCCTGACATTGAAGAGGTGGTCATTAAGATTTAGGTGGCAAAAGCACCCTCTTTACATTGGGGGGTTGATGGTAGAAGGGTCCTCTTTCAATGTGGCCAGTGGAAGAAATTCCCTGTTTTATTGGTGGTCTTTGGAAAGAACACCATTTACATTGGCGGTGGTCAATCTAGTGCCGACCTTACATTGGTTGTTAGTGGAAAGAATGCACAGCTATAGTGAGGGTCACTGGAAAGAATTTCCCCCATTCACACAGTTGTAAAAGATCATTGGTTGTCAGTGGTTACATAACTGAGAACTGAAAGGAGAGGTATCACCGGTCTCTGCTGCTGGCATTGTCCAGGGGAAGATAAGCCTTCTAATGCTCAAGGAACCCCTTGCAACTTCTAGAGAAAATCTGGTATAGAACAATTGATATAGAAACTTTCTGCCTTTAGCATCTTTTGCTGACTCTTTTTTCATAATGTCTTTTATTTCATGGGTCTTTACAATAGCTGATTTATTTTTTATTTAATGTAACTTTATTCATGAATAAAAGCCAGTCTGAAATGAACACAATAAAAGGAAAGCAGAATATAACTCTTTAAACACTGCTTCAGCTCGGTATCAGATTGCTTTTATGAACATTGGAATAGATTCATATTATCACTTTTAGATGTGTTGCATATGACTATAATGTTTATAATTTGCTCCCTTTTTTTTTTACCATACTGAGTCTTAGAAAATTAGTGGTAGGATTAGTAGAACTATCTGCAACTAGACATTATTATGCACTTAGCATTCTACATTTATCAGTGAGTATCATTGTCAAAATTTAAGCAAAATTATATTCACTGTGCTTGTCATTTTCAGTTGTAATTCACTTTATATAGAATTTTTTTTTTTTGTTTAATAACAAATTGGTATGGAATAATGGACTTCTCTTTTTGTTACATTTTGCCTCTCTGAAAGCTTTTTGATGGATGTCTATTGGTATTGCTATGGTGACTTCAGCTGTTACTCTTAATAATTATTATATAATAAAATGTAGGTCTTCACATTGTGGTAACAGTACACAATCAAGATTTAAGAATACTTTGTTTTTTGATAAACTGTGTACAGATTAACATAATTGGAAGGAATATAGGAATGTTTTATTAACGTAAAAGGGTATTTTTCATTTTATCAACATTATGTTATATTTGATGCCATAGTTCTTTTATTTTTCTGTCACTGGGTTCTGTATAAATGAAAAATTGTACAAACTATTTTATTTCTCCAGTTTATAAACTCTTAGTGGATCTGTCATATTCCCCATAGTAGCTAAAAATACGTAATGCTTTCATGAGAAGAGATGACCTGCTGTAGAGTCTAGAGAAATAATGTTCACCGCCGCACTGTCAAGTGACCTACTGAAATGGTCAGGAAGAAAGCAAGCTATAAGATGGAATTATTTCCTTGCCAAACACTGACTCTCTGGTTAGTAAGCATGTCCATAAGAAAAACAGTATTAGAATCAGTAGTCATGTTGACTGTTGGTCATTCAGGTTTAGTTCACATTTGTAACAACAATTATCATTCATCAGGCGTGGCATGAACGCTTGTTTACATTTTTGCATATTGTCTTTTCACAGAATTATCTCTGTTGACAACAGTAGTGTATAAAAGCTTTATTAGCAGGATTTTCTAAACCAGCATTTCTCAACCTTTTTTTCAGTTGCGGCATCCTTTAATGCATAATCCCAAGACACTCAGGTCAAAAATATATCAAATGTTTATTTTACTTATCAGTGGGAAACCTGAGCTTGGAACAATGCACACAACCACCTGGATGAAATTAACTTCACATCAGAAGCCACTGAAGCTCAGAGGTCACCCTATCACATCAGAGATTTCTCTATCATGTCAGAGGGCCCCCCATACTCTAGAGGCCCCCATCACCACAGAGTCCCCCAATCACAGAGTCTCCCCATCACAGAGCCACCCAATCACACAGTCCCCCTATTTAGAGCCCCCATTCCCCCTATTTCATACCCTCCTAAAGGCCTTGGTTTAGGGTAAACTGGATCCTGTGCTCACAGCACCCCAGTGGAATCCAGACAGCACTTAGTATACTACGGCACCCTGGTTATCTAAACCAGTGTTTCTTAGCCAGGGTACTGTCTTTTTTTTCCCTGGGCTGCCATGATCACAGGACCCAGTTTGCCCTGGATCAGTGTGGTGAGTTGCCAAGGTGCAGGTGGGCCAAACAGCAGCACCATAACAACCAATCACACTCAAGGGTCAGGACGCATGGCATCAGTTATTGCTTTAGTGATAGCGACTGGTTTCACCACACCAAGGCAGGCAGCATGTTAGAGCCCCCCCCCAGCATTCAGGAGAAGATATAAGTCCATCTGCTCCACCTCTTGCCCTCTGCCATGTTACTGGAGTCAAAAGGCAGGGCTGATTTAAAGAAGGGGCTGTGTGATTGGGAGGCTTTGGAATGAGGGGATTGTGTGATTGGGCAGTTCTATGATGGGTGGACTCTGTTGTGATGGGGGAGATACTCTTGTTCTGGTGTATAAGGAGCTCTGATGTGATGGGCAACCTCTGATGTGAAGGAGGTACTCTAATGTGATGGAAAACCTCTGATGTGAGGGGTTTGATGTGATGGGGGACCTCTCATGTGAAGTGGGGCTTATGATGTTAAGTTAATTACAGCAAGGAAGTTGTATACATTGTCCCAGGCTCACGTTTCCCATTGGTAAGTGATATTTACATTTTCAACATTTTAGCATGGGGGGTGTCTTGAGATTTTGCATGCTGTTAAAGGATGCCAAGACTGAAAAAAGGGTATAGAAATGCTGATCTAAACAAATAAAAATTCTCCTACACTTTTCCTATCAAAAATTTGAAAGCATCATGAAATTTGAGAGCTGATTGTAGAAACCTTTCCCATACCTTCCAACTCTGTAAAAAGTAGAAATTCCTTTGCACAGCGATAATATGAAGGAAACTCTGGGAAAGTTTTGCAGATGGTTGGGGAGGGGGGTATGTCTTTCCATTCAATGTATGTTTTGTACATTAGTGAGCTGGTGGTACCCTTTATATTCAAATGGGCACCCAATACACATACGTTGCAGTGCACCACAGTGCATGGTAATGTACTACCATGCTTTGTGGTCTGCTGTGTTGATAAAAAATAGTGTTGTGGTGTGTTTTGCTGCAATATTCAGCCCAGTGCTGACTTAATTCAAAGCAACATTTGTGCAATAAATGCACAAGTTTCTGGAATACATACAATAATTCATTTTATTGCCACTCAGCATGCATACATTTCCACGTCACCGCTTGAATTCATTAATATATACAGATCCCGTGTAACAGATAGATTTTCGTACTTGCTGCTTTTCTTGGAATCAAATTTAACAGAGAACTGCCTCATATGGCCTTCTTCTTCTTCTTATGATCTCAGTTTTATAGGTTCTAGTTATATTACCTTAATAACTCCATTATGTCTGACTCAAAGATTTAATGTACAGTGGTCTGTGATAACGTCACAAGATATCATGAG